GTTCCTACCTTACCAATCCCCAATGTCTGGTGCTGTATCAGGGAATTCCTCAGAATCCCTCCAGAGTTTCCCTCATGAGGGATTCCCAAATCTATACACTTTTCAGTTAGAGTGTCTTTCTTCATCCCCAGAAACTTTGCCACTTCTCTCTTTCTTGTGTTTGTGCTCTTTCCAACTATCTCTAAATTATATTTATTTTTCTTTCCTAAGATGTATATTCCACCCCTATGGAATTATCTCAGCTTAATCTCCACAGAGCAAAACCCCCTAAAGTCAATATCCCCTCGCTAAAGCCAATACCTGTAAAGTTTTGCTCTTTTCTTAGACCCCTTATATGTCACACCTGTAAAGGCACCTCTGTACTGTTCTGAGGTGACATTATGCTGCCTCCTTGCCTTCCTGGAGAGCATCCCAGTTGCCATCACCGCGGCGGCACAGAGCCACCAGGACACTGGAGCCACCAACACCTTTGAAGGGAAAGGCATATGTGTCATCTGCGCATGCGCAGACAATGCCTTTTGTTTGGGGAGGAATTTAAACCCCCAGTGTATTTTTTTTCAACTTCTCATACTTTTCTGCAAATCTAGGGGGTCAACCCAATTTTGGGGTAAGTGTGACCCCTATTTGCGGAAAATAATATATAGATAATATACTATTTTGCCCTATCTGTGGAAAATAGTATATAGATAATTCCTTTCTGTACTGTAGATATCATACAACACTAAATCCAAGAAGCATTTCTGCACTTAGAGGGTGCTGCCACCTTGTGACAGGACCATTATGGGTTTGTTTGTTTTTGCTTATGGACAGCTGCATGCCTTAATCTGGTGACCTTTAAAATGAAGCTACGAATTGTGTAGTACAGGGTGTGGCAGTTTGCCTCTCTCTCTCCAGTGCTGTATTGTGTATAGTTGTAGTTCTGCTTGAAGATACTGAAGGCGTTTATACTTTTAAATTTCATAAATATGCCAAATAGTACAGTTTTATACGCTAAGTTGTAAATGATGCATTTTATGTTATTAAAGCAGTAAAATAAAGTTTGATCAAACAGTAAGTGTTTGGGTTTTTTTTGCTGTTTTCCCCGTCTTCAAAATTTCTGAAAACTTTATTAATTAATTAATTTAGATGTATGAATTATTAATTAGATCTTTACTTCAGATCTTTATTTCAGGAAGAATTAGGGTACCCACTCCTTCTGCCAACGTAAGTGCCATTCCACTAGCGTAAATGCTGCTATGTCAGTGGAAGAGCACTGTTGGATCCAATCTCTTCTCCATCTAAAGCCGTTTCTGCACAGTGAGGATTCTCCACACTGCTTTAATTGCCCCTGCAAAACGCAAAAGCATCCGTGTTGGCAACAGAACTTCTATCTGTGGGAGTTTTCAGAGCACTTTCCTCCCTTTTGTCCAACGTTTCCCTTCCATACATGTTTTGCAGTGACTCTACACTGGCTCTTGGGGATTGGTTGTTACAGCTGCTGTGGTAGCGCAAAGCCTTTTTATTGATTTGTTTCCCCTTCGTGCATGTGCTATGGTGGTTCTATTAAAATCTGGAATGGAAATAGAAGAGTGGCAAACAATTACCATATTTTTTTAAAAAAAAGAAACAGCCCCTAAAAGCCCTCCAATGGTGCAGGAGGAAAAGGGAATCTACAAGGGGCTGACCACAGGGAGTGAGGCCAATGAGGACAGGACTTTTGTAGGGCAGGAAAATGTGCATCATTTGCTCGACATGACATGTTAACATGTTGATCAGAGTAAAGTTAGTTTGAAGTTTGTATAGTTGTGAAAGAGTGGACCGAGGATCAGGAAGACCTGGAAACAGAGTGTTTATTGCATTACATCATGTGGAAGCCCCAAAACAGTGCGCTCTAGTATTAAAGCCAATGTGGAGAAAAACCTCAGCCTAACTCAGCAATTTACCGAGTTTGTAATTTAAAGATACATCTGCCCCAGCATCTATCTCTACTTCACTTTTTTTTTGTTTATTCCTAATTGTCCCAAGCCACTTTTCACACATTATCTGAACACACATGGAACTACCTTACAAAAATGAATCAGACCATCGGTCCATCAAGGTCAATATTGTCTGTTCAGACTGGCAGCAGCTCTCCAGGGTCTCAGGCGGAGGCCCTTCCCATCACCTACTACCTAGTCCTTTTCACTGAAGATGCCGGGACCTTCTGTATGCCAAGCAGAGGCTCTTCCACTGAACCACGAACCCTTCCCACAATCCATACATGCATGTTGCTCTTGTCACTGCAGGCTCAGATAACTTTAAGAAGAAAATCCTGAACATTTTCACAGACAGCCATGGACACGCACCCCTCTCCCAAGCTATCGCCTTTGCTGGAGTGCAGATTTGGAAGGAGGGGCACGAAAGCTTCGTCTCTGTAGGGCTTTACAAGTGTCATTTAAAGTGCTCTTCAACCCCACTCTCATGGTTGGAGTGTGTGCGTGAAAACACAACGGCAGTGTGCTGGCACCGTTTATTTATGGCCATACAGGAAGGATGATTTACCATCACATTTCCATTTCCCTGAGCTTTACAATGAACACATGATTTCAGTCTTACAATTTCGGGGGTGGGGGGCGGAGTGGAGGAATATGCATTGGCAGACCTAGCTGAATAGGTTACAATGAACGCATTTAATGCTTGTTTAAAAAGAAACATTCCGGAAGTGTAGGAGGAATAACAAAATAATAGCTGATATGAGTGACACGGTGAGATGTAAGGTGCGCTTTGTGAAGGTTAATCTTCCTTTAATAAGGTTACTTTTATTTAAAGAAACTAGGGAGTGGAAGCAGTGCAGGTTGAAGGTACTTCCAAGTACAAATCACGTAAACAGGGGAGGGGGGAAGCAACAGTCGATCCTATCACTTCACTATATGTTTATAACCATGTTTTGTGTCATGTTCTGAGTTACAGTGGGGGAGACCTGTAGAGGCCAAATGGCAGTCAAGCAAGAAAAGGAATTCAGTGCGTCCACACGTTTTATGTGCTAGAGAAAACTTCAAAGGCAAACTGAAATCCCCCCCCCTTAAAATGTGTGTTCCCACCCCCTTGCTTTTGGTCTGAAGCCATGCCTTCCAGAATTCTCAGATTTATCTCATTACCTGCATTCCCCCCCCCCAAAAAAAAATCTTTCATGTTTGGAAGCGGGCGTCTTCATGACCGACTAACAGCAAACAGCTTTCTCTGCACACCATTATCTTGGTTTCTGCTCTGCTCAACTGTACAGCAAAATTTAATTACTACGGCACTGGAAAACAAAGGAGGAGGCAGAGCCCTTCTGAAGGAGAACATTCTCGACTTGCCCTTTGCAGGCAGAGCGCCTCCAGTCATGGAAGCGTTGCACCAAAACACTCGTCTTCCCCTGCCTCTTTTTACCCTGCTGTGTAGCTCAGAGCCCAAACAAGCACTCCGGTTTCTGGCTCAGGAACGACTGAGCCAGAAACGGCAAATTACATGTATTCAGGGCACATCAATTAACAGTGCCCTCATGCAGCTTCCATTGCGCCACACGCATTTCCAGCAGGAGACACGACTGACCTTGGCTGCTCTTCGTGGTATTTTTTTGCATGGATTGCTACAGGGTGTTTGAAGCAGTATGCAAGGTAATTGACCCTGCTCCTGTCACACCCAAGCATGCACTCACATATCCCCTATTAATAGCCGAACAAAAACATCTGCTGAGGTTCAAAGCAAGAATGCCAGATCCTTTTTTACTGCTTAGAGAGGTAAGGGGGAAAGGAGTGGGAAAACACTCCTCGTAAGATGTTGGAGGAGGATTTCAGGAGCACTCTAAAGAACTATCTACACGAGGGGTCCCTAACATTTTGGGGACTGCAAGCACCTTTGGGGTTTTGAGAGGGGGCAGTAAGCGACAACCCAAAATGGCCGCCAAAGGAGGTAGAGCCAACCCCAAAATGGGTGCCACAGGAGGAGGAGCCGAATGGAATACGTCCCTCCTCACACCTCCTGGGAAAAAGGAAAAATGGAGTCATACAATGAGTAAGGAAAGCCCAGGTGCTTACTGGTCCTCCACATCCACCAATGGAGAACCCTTTCATTTGACTGAGGGCAGTCAGTGACAGGCCCTGCCTTACAATGGCTCTACCCACTTTCTGAAAAGCTTGGCGGTGCCAAAGAGAAGTACAGGCATGCGCTGTGGTGCCCATGGGTGTCACACTGGGGAACCCTGATCTACCATATAAACATATACTGGTATTATGACAGCTGACATGGCTTCCTCCTAAAAATCATGGCTCTGGAGAGGCACAAATCAGGATATCAGCAAGGAGTCTTTAATCCGCTTTCCCCACCATGGACAGCAACACACGAAACTGCATTTAGACCTAACGCCAACTAAACTTGGTCCTGTGTTACCTTCCGCCCCCTTGCATGGGAAGGCTTTGCTCTGCCGATACCTATCCCTGTAAACCTGCTCTTTGTCTGGGGCACAAGGACTGCACAGCCTCATCTGTAGGAGAAAGGTGTGTGTGTGGTTGGTCCTGGCTACCTGGACTGGGTGGGACTAGATGACTTCTTCATCCCATCCACTTCTGTCACTTATTCATACCTTAGTAGGAAAAGTACTGCTTTCGGCATGAAAGCTACGAAGATCCACAATTTGCTCAGTTCTAACGTGGTACTTGTTAAAAATTAGTTTATGACCAGAGTCAAAGAGCAAATATCTTTAAAACAACACAGGTGAAAGCACACAGGAGGGGCTTCTTGAGTCACATGTTTTTGGGGTGTTGTTTTTTTTAGGGGGCAGAGTTCTGCCTTCTGCTCGCCTCCTCAGTAGGACAGCAATAATCACTGCTATGAATAAGGAATGTTGAGCTATACACTGGCATTGCACAGCTTACGCATTACGTCTGCTGTGATAAAATGGCCTTTGCATGCCATTTTATCGCAGGCCATTTTAGCTGGATGGGGGAATTTATCTGGCTAATCAAGGCCTCAAGTTACCAATCCCCAGTGAGGCTACCCGGCCTTGCTCTTCTACCTCAGTAAACCTTTCATCACTTGCACTAGCAGGGGCATGCGGAGAGCTACAGTTTTTGTTCGTCCAGACAATGAAACGTTTTAAGATAGTTTTTGTGACCACCTATGGGGTTTTTTTTATGTCTGTTTACATTGACCATGGGGCCCAAACCTTAGGAGCCAAGCCTGTACTGATATTTAAATATCCAGGAGAAGGTTACTTTTCTCTCTCCCTTAATTTTCCCTCTTCAATGTGGACTAAGGGTAGACCACAAAAGGCCACAAATTGATACTGATTGGGGGAAAAATAGTTACTACACAGATACTGGGTTGGATCCAGCCCAACTTTTCTGCTCAAGGCCCTTCTATCAGTGAAACATAACTTTTTTGCTTCCCTCCCCCCACCCCCATCATCACATTAATTTCCCCCAAAATGCTGTTCATGGGGGACAGGGGACCCTCAGGAACAGCAGAAGGCAAATCCAGGGACTGCAGCAAATTCCAGATACTCCTTTCATTTCACAGTTTAAGGCGAGGATGTCTCGCTTCTCCATCTGCAGCCTCAGGAAGTCTATCCTCTTTTTTTCCAGTTGGGAGAGGAGAAGAAGGAAAAAAGGCAAAATACTCCAACAAATGAAACTTTCTTCTACCTCTGTTCTGGCCATACCTCTCTTACCAGCTACAGAATTCTAGCCTTTTCTGCTCTAGAAGGTTCACGGGGCAGATTTAGGCAGGTCCCTGAGCATTTGCAGAGTGCAAGTTTATGACCAAAAGAAAATGGGTCCCAAAGCTGTAGATTCTACATGGCTCAGCTCTGAGGTGAGGTATGGTTTCTCAGAGTATCTATATCAGGTATACGTTTTTAAAACTGATTTTGTGGGTCCGTAGCTTTTTTTTTTTAAGTGCAAGCAGCTCAAGTTGTTTGTATACCAAGGATCGAAAGAAGAAAGACTAAGACAAATATTCTCTTATCAAACTATGCTTAACTTACCCCAGATTGTTATATATAGCCTCACACTGGCATTTTCTTGGTTACATATAGCCTCACACTGGCTTTTTCCTTATATCCTGTCTCTGAAAACCTAGTGATTTCTCTCTTCTCCCTGGTTGGAGTTATATATTCCACTCAGGATTAACACTGCTGATTATTGCCTTGTCTTCTCGGGTGGCGTTGACTCTCATTGTCCCAGTGCTTAATAATGGGGATCCATTGTACAGTTCTGGATAGCATCCCAAAGTTCTGTATGCAGTTTAAAGAGTCCTGCTCGGGCTTTATACTGGATTACAGAGACGGGGCAAATCTGGGAAGAGGAAATGTCAGGACGCTTTCGGTGCCTGAGGTAGAAAATGCAAATTGTGCCCCTTCCCTGCAGTGAAATATAATAATTAATTAAAATAGCTGACAACGTGCTCCTGTTTAATGGTGCACAAAATCGGCTGCCTGAGGCGGCCTGCTTGGCTCCGCCTGATGGCAGGACCAAAGCGAGGGACTTGCTCCTGCT